GAGAGTAAATACTAAAAGGTAGAATCTTGCAGTGCAATTTTGAATTAGCTGAATATGGTTTGGGGGGCAACTTCTGCAGCATTGCTAGTATGGATCCAGGTATGCATTAATCATTTATAGCTCCCTCCACCCAACAACAGCTTGTATAACTGAAATTATCTTCCCTGAAAATAATCTTCTAAAATTAAGTGAACATAGGTGCATATGAAAACCCCAAGTAAATAAAGAAAATCTCAAAGATTCACTGTAAATGCCAACGTTAAATGTTTTATTTTTAATCAAGTAATTCTTTAAAACCTCACAATATCCATGACTGACAGGAAAAAAAGACATTAGGCATGAAATGAGAATATAAAATACATGATATGTAGAAAGGCAATCAGTGCTTTAGTCCCTCAAGACAGTAAACAGGTGAAATGACCTTCAAAACTTCAACTCACTTTTTCTTAAAACATAAAATTCAAGTGATTTTTCTTTTATTTCACCTTGTAAACAACATACAAGTCAAAATGGACAATGAGGTAATCTATACTACAGAAGATAATTTAAAAACACTAGATAAGACACAGTATTAAAGACATATAGAAATCAGTGTTCACTTTGGTCTCTAGTATGGTTATTGTTATTATTACCACAAGCAACACTTACTAATTTAAGCCAGTCTGGTGATGTTAGTCAGCCAGTTGTTGCTTAACTTAGTAACCCAAGAGGTAGTCAAAACCATTACCCTTTGTAAAGATGGTTGCTCTTACGTTTGGTTCCCCGACAATGGTAGCAAATACCTTGGTACTTTTCAACACTCTCATAAAAGCAATGTCGAAGCTGCTAATATACAGCTCCAGTTTATATAAAAAACAGAAACATGTGTTCATAAATCAACCTCTTGTTATCAGTCAACAGTTGTAACAGGGGTAACACAATCAACGGATCTTAAAGAAGAGGCTGTTGATATACTAAGCAAAGTAAGATCGATGCATTTAACAAGGCTCTGCTTGTTTCTAAAACAATACTCAAATCTCATTAAGACTTCTAGAAAATTAAAATCAGTGCATCTGCACATGTACATATCTTCCCAATTACTTTTATATCTAGCACAGGGGAATACATATATATTTTTTATGATAAACATTTCTTACAGATAAATTAATTAAATTAAATTTAAGATGAGATTTCCCATGTTTTTTTATAATTCTTCTTACAAAGAATGTTACAAGATTTATAAACACTTTTTATAGGGCTCTATTCACAAAACTAAGTATGACTAAGCAGGAACTCCAGGATAACACTGGTGCAGAGTAGAACTGGGCTGAAAAAGGTGGCCTGCAAAGGGAAGAGGTAAGATCCAAATGTGGTGTTTGGCACTCCCTGAAAGCTGGCTGAAAGCAAAATTTGCAAATGGTATTGTAATGCCGGATTTACCATCAACTGCAGTGAAAAGCTATTTGGCTCCTCCTCCTCCAAATACAAGTCTTCCTCATGGCCTAACTTTTGTAGCATGTAAATAAATATCATGACCTCTCCTTGGGGGAGAGTAAAAAATACCTCACAATGTCCCTTATGATTAAATCAAATTGAGTATTTTGGGGTGGGGGAATGGGAGGGAGATTCTTTTTCCAGGTTTAACCTTAGCTATCTCCACCATTATTAGGAGAAAAATACATCTCTCTGAGCAGACATTTGAACTATTTCTACTCAAATGAGTTTTATTGTGAAAAGCATTCTGCAAGCATTCTGGCAAGGACAGGCTGGTGAACAGGCTGAGCCAATGCTGCAGAATATTCATTTTGTCTTGAGACATAAAGGAAGAATCTGAAACTGAGTCTGTGCCTCCTCCTCTAAAGGGTTCTTATCTGGAGCTGAAGGAGTATAATTAGATAGTTGGGGTTTTTTTTTCCTACTGCAGCCCAATGCCCAGTAGTTACCTGCTGCAGCTTGCACTGCTATATGTTTAACTTAGGCATGTACATTTTTGTCTCTTCTGTAGATGTATTTATTTTCATGAACAGTGCCCATAATCCTTTAGACAGAAAAATAAAAGCTTTCAAAGAAATGTTTGGAAACGTCTCATAATTTCAAACGTATGCTTCATCTTAAACAAGTATTTGCCATAATGTATGCAGTGGTGAACTATCAGTTACATATTTAGTACAGATAAAAAGTATGTACCATAGATCAACAGCCACCTTTAAGGCTAGAGCAGCACAAAGGTGTGTTTATGCAGTAAATATGAGGTAGCCTTTTGCTGTAAACAGAATAATAATTTTATTGTCACCTATGTAAACAAAGTGGGCTTGATGCTTTTGTGTTTTTATTCTTTCCCCTCCACCCCCCATCCCTCATCCCTCCCCTCCTAGAAAAGCTAAGCACCAGTAACTCTGACTGAAAGTCAGTGGGAGCTGTGGTTGCTCAGCATCTCTGAAAACTCAGACCCTGTGAATGTAAAGACGCAAATGTTCACATAAGTAACCAGTACAGAATACCACTTTATCATTTCACAGGAACTTATAATACAAAATGCTGAGATCTGATTATCAGAAATGTAGATCTATGTCAACTCAGAGGTAGTTACTAATATCAGTACATAATACTTATATAGAGATAAAAAGGTCTAAGACTATTTGGTTTGTTCTGAGTAAGCAGGTCTGTAGACTATTCTGTAAAGAAAAAACAACATTCCATGGTATATTCCCTGAGCAAAGTTCTTTGTCCTGAGTATGTTATGTAATAGTGATAACATTCTAATATATAAAAATAAAACCTTAAGCTTTCAACAATAAGATAGGGTTTGTTATGTGCTCTTAGCAGTTCAGTCTGACTTTGGTGCGCAGAGTGATTTCAAACAGCACCAATAAAAATCTGCATGTTGAAAATACTTCCTTAACTCAGCTCTGAACTTCTTATGTATAAACAGGGAATGACCATTTTTCAAATCCACAATTGCCTATTTCTATAAGGAACTTTGGTTTAAATTTTCAAAGTGACCTAAGTTTTGCATCTTTGCTGTTTAACCTGGTTTTTACACCGGCTAGAAGGTTAAGCAATGCCACTTTGATTTGTCTACATAATTTAAATAAGTTTACTATCCTTACATAAGGCAAGGAAGTTCTTCTCTATAGATATATCACATTCAATATCGTCAAAGGAAAGCTTTGCATTAGCATACTGAGAACTTCAGTATAAACCATCAAGATTCTTGCAAACCCTGGCATGGGAATTCACACAAAATAATTCTCTTCAAATTGTGCCTTTCACCGAGGCATTTGATGACTACCTGTTTACTGAAGCAGCAGCAGCAACAGTAAAAGTCTCATCTGGCAGGACAAGTGGGAAGGGGAAGTCCACGTAATGAGCCAGTTGCATACCTGTTGTAACTAGTGGCTGCAAAAGAGTTACCACGGGTAGGATTTTGGCTCGCTGTAGGCTTTCATGCAGGCTGTTTCTTTAGTTTGATTATCCAAGCTTAAACCTACCCGACACTTCCAAGCTTTAACAGCCTGTGTTTATTGCCAATGTTAAGGATTATACAGGTTTCTCTAATTAACTTACATCCACAATGGGATTTGTCAAAGTATGTTATCTTACGTATGACTTGGTAATTCAGAAGTTACAAATGGAAAGCGACTTGAAGTTTTGATAGGCTCCAACTCTATTAACCCCGAGCAAGGGCTGCAGCCCAGGGAGTCTCACTCTGAGGCCACAGATCTTTCTGCTCTTTAATGCAGAAGTGTGTGGTCCCAGCACACTCTGGACCAAGGCTGGTCAGCAACAGCCCCCAGTTCACAAAAAGAAGACGATGCCCAGGGCTTCTGGCAAATCTGCACGTCCCTTCACTCAGGCTTGTCTACAGCAGACACCTGTCCTTCTTGACTGTACTCATGCTGTATCATCAGCAAGTGAGGCTGGCTGAGCAACCCAAGCACCCATCTACCTTTATTCTTAAGAAACTATCCCAAGATCTCATTAGTTTTGCATTTCATTTTCTTTAAAACCAGAACATACAACAACAACAAAAATCCCTAGGTAGTTCTCTCCATGGCATTTCAACAGAAAACAAGAGGGAAGTCCCATTAGATTGGGGGATACTACTTGGGACCAAGAGAAGTTGCTGCTGCTGCTGCTGCTACTGCCACCAAGGTCCTCTAAATGTTCACAGAATACAAAGGGTTAAACAGGATGGTATCCTGATACCACTCAATAGGGTCTGTTTGTTAACAACTTGTACATTCTCCTCTACACAACAGTCATCTAAATTACAGTTACAACCATATTAATTTAACAAATTTTTTTGAGAAACCAGCACAGAAACTACACATTCATTGTCTTTTCTGGAGCTTTAAACTCCTCACCCACAAAGGATGGTGGCAATGAGAGCCATGTTGAATCATGACACTGCCCTGCATGGGCACAGGAAAGGGAGCGGTTCTGATGCTTTGTGGAGATGAGAAAGAAAACCACTCAAATTGATGGTATGGGGGATGTCTCAGTATCTTTAGTACCATATGGCGGCTTTAAAATATGAAAGTAACCTTTGGATCACAAGAGAAGTAACAGTCTTGATCTCAGTTCTGTGTGTGGTTTATCAGGTTTGTTTTTTTCTGAGTGAGATTTCTTGGGTTTTCTTCTTTGTTTTTGAATGTTTGGAAAGAGGTTCTAGGAATGAGTTCATGAATGTTTGTGGATACTGTGCCTATTGCTTCACAGTGATGTCTGTGGGAGCTGGAGAGTGGTCTGATGGAAAAAATATGTATTTATAGATATGTACACATACACACACGCGCGTGCACACTCATACACACACATACAGAAGGTAAAACGTAATGCACCCTGATCAAATGTATTTTGCTTGGAGTGATTTGTCTATTAAAGAAAAAAAAATTCACAGTTCCTCAACAGTAGTTAAAATTCCAGGTCAGCTACTGATAATGAAATTATTTCCCCTGTACTTGCATGAGGTAGACATCCCAAGAGGATAAAGAAAATGGAAAGTTATGACAAATGCTTTAAGTTTTTTTTCTTTTCTGAACAGAAGGCCCCTTTCTGCTCGGTTCTTCAGGTGACGCAGACAACTTACTTGATGAAGCTTCCTGTGGTGACCTGCCCGAGCGCTCCGAGTTTTCCGACCTGCCCTCCTGCGAGTACAGTGGAGATGAGTAACCGTGCATTCCTCCCCCTTCTCTCAGGAAAGCAGAAGTGGAAGGCTGTGGTTCAGCTTCATGTCTTCCCTGAGAACTAGTGGGCTGCTGCGAGACAGTTTTATGGGGGCAGTTAGCCACCATGTGCATGATGCTCTGACAGTAATGGCACTTCTTTGGCTGCGGAGGTAAACTACATTCTTTAGCGTGGTGGTCGAGGCCACCACAGTTGTAGCATCTAAAAAGAGAGAGACAACTAGTTATAAAATGCAATAATTAAATGATAAGAGGTGTTCTACTGGGTAAGGTCAGCGTGCATAAGCGTGCATAAGGTCTGCTGGTGAAGCAGCGTGAGTTTTGTTTTTTAAGTAAGTCCCTTGGAAGGTGCCCCTTCGTCGCACCGGTGCCGCAACCCGCCTTGTGCTTGCGAGCGGGAGCCGTTTGCCGGTTCCCCGTCCGACGCCTCAGCCCTCCCCACAGGCCGCCCCACTAGAGGGCACCAGATATCCAGCCATCCCGCCGCGCCGCCGGCGTCTCTCCACCCGGGTACTGATGGCACTAAACGCCTGCGAGTGCTTCAGCGCCTGGCAGGACCAACATCGCCATGCGGGGCGCGGAGAGGAGGCGAGGCGGTCATCAGCGCCAGCCTCTCCACCCTGAGGCGGCTTCACCCTGGGTGCACCCGTCGCCTGTCGGGGCCATAAAGGAACGTGCAGAGAGGAGATACTCAGCACCACACGCCGCTTTTAGTCAGGGAAACCCAAACGTGGAGGAAGGATGCGGTGCCCGGTCAGTAGCCGGGCTCTCGCCCAGGGCCCGGCCCCTTGCTTCCTCTGGCTCAGCCAAGGCACGGAGAGGCAAGGCTCTGGGCCAAGATTTTACAGGGCTTCTGTTGCAGAGCGTTCCTAATGGCACTTACGGTTTCAATTCAAAAGAAAATAAATAAAGCCCCGGCAAGAGTCATAAAAAAGGGTTTGTTTGTTTTCTCTGGAAATTCCCAAGCCGCGTGCAAGTGGCTGTGACCCAGGGTGCCATCTGCAACATGACACGGAGCTGATGGGCGCAGTGAGCCTCCTCCACGCCGCTGGGGAAGGCCTCCTCCCCAGCTCTCAAAAATGGCTCAAAACCACAAATACTCTTCTATTAACCTTGTTAGCCAGGGGAGCCCTAAAGAAATCCCCAGCAATTCCTTACTGAATCCTCTCACTCTGCA